AGCTATTAGTAACAAGTGCCTTACTAGTAGTAACAAGAAGCTATTAGTAACAAGTGCCTTACTAGGAGTAACAAGAAGTTATTAGTAACAAGTGCCTTACTAGCAGTAACAAGAAGCTATTAGTAACAAGTGCCTTACTAGTAGTAACAAGAAACTATTAGTAACAAGTGCCTTACTAGTAGTAACAAGAAGCTATTAGAAACAGAGGATATCGAAGGATCGATACGTCGTCGTCCTAGCAGGACAGAGGAGTCGTAGGTCGTTCCATGCTGAAGGCGCTTCAGCTTGTCTCGAAAATCAAAGATGAGCCACATCCGTCGGCCAACCTGAAAAGTCTATCTCAAGCGGCCCTAAAGTAGCTTCGGTGATCAAAGGCACTTTATACTACAACTGGAGCACTTGAACCCCTTGCCTCGAATTGTGGTGACTCTTCAAACCACTCTGAAGGCGGCCAACATTTCCAACCAACATACACCAAAATACCATAAAATATCAGAAAATACCACACCTTTCCCATAAAATCAGTCCGTCAAAATGTCGCCTCTTCAATTCGTGGGCTCAGTGAGCGAGACTTCAGGATGACACAGGTACTTTTTGTTGTTTGGTTTGTCTCCAAGCGACACAAAGGCTCCAAGGGCTGCAACTGGGCAACGCTATCGGCCGCTCGCCACCTGAGTCTCGAGTGCGACGATTGAGCTGCGCTTTGAGCAACTCACTCAGAACCGTAGTCTCTAGACTCTATGTATCAAAGCTATAGTCTAGCTACTAGCTGTTGCATTTCTGAAGTTCTGAATCAAACCGCTACGGCGCTTTGAACCCTTGAGGGAACTCATGGGAGCTCTAGCTTCTTGTGCTTTTTTGGGCCAGCTCTTCAGCTCGTCCATCCGCTGGCCGCATGGCCATTGGCTCCGAAACAATGAAGCCATGGCTGCATGGCTTCTTCTGTCTTCCCCAAGTCGCTTCTCAGATTGAAAGCGTTGCTTCTCTCATTTGGAGCTTTTCGATGCCTCAACCAGTGCCTTGAGCGCCTCAGGCGCCTTATGTCGTCACTTCGAGCTTGTGAAAGTTCGATCTTAGAGCTCATTGATGTCATACAGCTTCGAGACGTCATGAAAGCTCCATGCTGGTTGATCGAAATCCTCAGGACAAAGAAACAAAGTTGCAAAATTTTCAAGCGACCATCTTCGGCAAAGCAAAGGCTACATATACAGGCTCTGCTTTGCTCGCCTTTCACTGAGCACTTTCGGTTCGTCGCAGGAAACACTGCTTCAGTGAGTCACACGAGTCTGAGTCCGATCGAGTCCGGCTTCTGGGTGTGGTCAACTCTGTCTGGCCCTATCCCCTCTTTTACCCGCCAGTTCTACTCTACTTCATCTCCCTCCCCTTGCCTGAAAAATGTCGTTCATGAAGATTATTCCAGAAGAATTGGCTTCAGCATCATCAAGTTGACGCAAAATTCGGCGGTCCAGGTGGCTCAGCCAATCTATGAAGCTCCATGTCCAAGGTGAAATCAACACCAAACAGCTCCTTAGGGCTTCGGCTAGCGGACTCAGATCTGAGCATTCATCTTTCCTTCAAGTATATCTTTCAGCTAAAGAGAAGAATCAATAGAGATTTGACCCAAAAATGGTTCCTTGACAGGAGAAAACCCACTCTCCTTGCGTTTCTGCACTGTGCCATACCATGTTCATATCTTCCATCCTAGAGTCTCTTGCAACGCGTCTGTGACGTACTCCAGGGTGGTTTTCCTTTGCGCTCTACGTTTCTCGAAGTTGATGCGCGTGACCTGCTTGGAGCACCGCTTCTGCTCTGAACTTCCATACAAATCCACCAACAAGGCCAAATGTAAAACCTCTTTCCTCGGAAGGTGGATGACGTGGATGACGAAAGGACAAAGTGAAGAACAAACCAGAGACGGGAACCCAGGAAGACCCGGAAAGACCCGGACGCAAAAAAACCATCTGCACCTTCGGACACAGTCCGGGAACCATGATGCAAAAGGCAATATGTAATCTCATGTAATCTCTACCTACTAGCGATGGCCTCCAACCTATACTAGCCATGGCCTTCAACCTATAGTAGGAAAGGCCTCCAAGCTATACTAGCGATGGCCTCCAACCTATACTAGCCATGGCCTTCAACCTATAGTAGGAA